GAAAACACAAACAGATACATAAATTAAAGTTAGCAGCAAATATTGACCAAAGATATATATCACGAATAAATTCTAAACGTATACTTAATTAACATTCACTTCTTTCAATATCCGAATAGATTTAGAAAAAAAATTCGATCGATTTAATAACAACTTTTTTATTTATTATGAAAGAGTATAATCCTACCTGAAGTTAAAATTATTTGAAAACTAATTGCTACTCGTTCACGACCCCATTGAAATCTAATGGAAGTTTTGTTCATATAGACTCGATTAACTGCATCAATGTCAAGTGTATAACACGAACTCAGACCACTCAAATAACTTGGAGAACGCGAATTCTTATCAAAGCCAATAGCCAAATATTGACCTTGCTCGACATAGACAGCATATTTGTACGTATGAATTGCTAGTTTATTGTTATCATATTGATAATCATGAGCGTCTGTCTTTAATACATCGACTACTTGAAAACAATGTGTATCGGATGTTGGCGAAATAATATAAAGAACTACATGATCTGACGTGCCCGTTGTCACTGATGGATTGTGAAAATTTGAAAAAACAATAGAAACTTGTTTTATATAACCATTTTGTCTGATAACATCGTCTCCATTGAAGACAACAAGTCCGTTTAGTTTAGTCGTCCGTTCTAGAGGATTCTCAATAGTACCATAGATATCGACATTGCCTAGAATTGAGAATAAAAATATTAAATAGTATTTATGACATTTTTCTTCGTCCTACTCGGATGTAACGCTTTTTTTCCCTGAAAAAAAAGAAAAACTTTGATACTCTCGAACTTGACTGATAAGTTTGTTTACTCGGAAAATTTCGATTGTTTGTAGTGCTTCTGTATTGAGATATTGTTTGTAATACATTTTTTGTTTATTATTATCGTCAACAGTAATTTCTTTCTTCGACAATGGTAAACCAGTTTTCTATGAACACTCAATAGTATGTATGAATTCTGCAGAGTTTCACTCACTTTCTTGTATAAGTCTTTAATATTAATTAATTGCCGAAGTCGATCGAATGATGCACCTTGTTCAATAAGAAGTTCAACAAACTGTACAGAACCATGCTGTATTGCATCAATTAAAGCACTGTCTAATTGAACATCCTTTCAAAAGTAGTGGAAATCAGAAACTAACATTCTCTTCGTTTATAATACTTACTGTCCACTGAGTTTTAACGTTTTCGATGAGCATGTCTGAAACGGCCAGATCAAACTTATTCCACGCCATGGTTAATTTGAGCTTTTGTACATGAGCATCAGATATTTCATGCTTGGGCATGCTTGCCGCTAAGTAAAAAAAATCATTCAAAAATTGATATGAATTATGTAAATACCTCGAAGTAATGCTTGAAGTATGGCATCACTCAATTTAAATTCTGGATCGTCAGGACATAGTAAAAAAGTATTGATTAAGAAGAAGCCTTTTTCTGATCTTATCATGTCATGAAAACGCTTCTCATTACTTCCAGTGATGATGTCCTTACCATCTTCTTTTATTACTCGTTCTCTAAAATATAAGTTAATTTTTTTTTTCAAAAAAAAAAAATATGAATATTACAAATTGGCATTATTGTTCGACGGTGAAAAATATGATGTTTGATTTTCATATAATGCTTTGTATGCTTTTGCAATAAAATTAGCCGCTCTGCCAGTACCCTACATAAAAAGTGAAAATGAAGTATGTTCTTCTGTTGAATTTATCTTTTGAATATGTACGTCAATGATAACGACGGGTGTTTCGTGCATTACTGCTTCAACCACTGTTAGAAGGGATGAAGGACCACCTTCGATTAATATTTGAATTATGGGAATCTTATAATCTATGAGCGAACAGAACTTAATAATTAGACAAAGATGAGTATTACCTACTATGTCTATAATGAGAGCTACAACGAGCTTCCTGTTCAATTTCAGCACGCAACTGAATAGTGAGGTCGGCTCGAACTGGATATCCATATCGTCTCCAGGTTTCATCATTCGGACCACATTTATCGTCAAGTAGAATAAAATGAGTATGATTTGGATCAAGAGGATATGATGCTGGCTTCTCTTGTGGCACACAATTGCGATACAATTTTTCACGATCGGCTACTGTGCTAAATGTCGCTGTTGGCATTGCACTCTATATCATGCTTTCATTTCTCAGAAGACCTATGAAAATTATATACATACTCCTACACTGCTCAGTTTCACACTTCGTCGTTGAATGAGTTGTCTATAATCTATTTTTAAATAGCAAAAGCGAATGTTAACCAGAATAGCATGTTCACTTTCTCTTACTTGTTGCATAATACCAACTTGCAATCCCAATAACAGGAACTTGAACATGACCTCTATCCACACTACTAGTTTTATATGTCCATTTTTCGAATGCATCACCGACATCCTTCATAACTCCAGCATACGTTCCTCCAGTGAACACCCAAGCATCTATTCAAAGATAGGCATAAACATAATATCAATCTCGACTCTTACCAGTCGTCACAGCAGCTGAGACAAGACCCTTTTGAAGAGCAATGCGACTTCTTTGTGGTAAATTAAAGATTTTTGCACCACCTGTGACTGAAATTATTAATTCAGGTGGAGGCAATTCCCATTTATTGCGTAACAATTCAATGAGATGTTTAGCAGGTTCGCGTATTACAGATGGCATAGGAACAATAGTATGAATAGTAGGCAGTTGTTGAATCACAGAAAAATTACATCGACGATTTCGTTCTTCTATGGTAGTATGACTTATTCTCTGTTCATGAGTTTCATTTTGTGATGCCGATTCACCAGCTTGAGTAGGATTGAATGGGTAACGTATATACTAATAACAATTCGATTAATATTCTTAGAAATAAAGGTTAAGACTTACCCATGATTTTCGATCATTCTGTGTGAAATGTATTTGTCCATAATCTTCAATTCTAAATGATATACATGAATGAATGAATAAATAAATTATACAAATGAGATTCTTACTGTTTGTCGCTATATTGATTGTTGTTTTCGACGACCCACTAGAATGTAGGAAACATATTCACATAGTTCAATGGTTGAATTTTGCCTACTACTTACCTTATGAACGGCCTCCGTAATGCGAATATACGATTGTAAACGTGCTGATTGCATTTTAGGATTTTCCATATTGTCACACTTGATTATTGTTTATCATACATCTATGACGCGAAAACTATCGTAGTAGTTACCTTCAATAATTTTATCGATTACAAAAAAGGAAAATAGTGTGAGAGTTTTCGTTTTTTTTCTCGCTTAATTGTAGAGACACTGACACGCATTTGTCAGTATAAGTCTAATTAAATTCTTCGGGATATGTTCAGTGCATACCAGATATTTCTTTGTTTATTTATTTCAAGCATTATATAAAAGCGTGAGTGTAAATTTAAAATAATGCTCAAATCTTATAGCCAAACGCGCATATCTATTAAAACGCGTCAATTCAAATCGAATGATGATGACATCAATACTTTGCTAAACTTGTATCAGTAAAAGGATACTGTAATATGTATGAAAATGGACCTGCGATAAAAATTTGATGATTCGATGACAAGTCTTAGTCAATGTGGAATCTACGAGAAACATTGAGCAGATCACTTTAAGTTGAATCTACTCTTTGATTTTTTTACAAATCTGATTGAAAAGTTCATCGGCATTATAAAATGTCAATATGCATATGATTATATGCAGAATGAGGAATGTGACTGGCATTCGTACCATATAAAAATTAATAACATTCTTCATTTGATGTACATATGGTATATAGTTGGTCTTATGAATTCTCTCGTTGCTCGTTTTTCTTTCGATTTACATGTGAAAAGGATACGATTCTTTTCCAATATAATATTTTTTTTTCAAATAGAGCAGCTCAGATATAATATGTATATAAATAAATAGGGTAGTTGGTAAGTGGCATTAGAAGAGAAAATGTTTTAAATCTCTGCTTAAGCTCAATCAAATGAACTGATTTTTTTTATTTTGTGGTAATACTTGATCTAAAATATTATTCATATGAATACTATGAACAAGTACTTATATTAAATTTTAGTATTAACTTCAGTGACGTAATTTTATTTGATGTAATACAATTAATAAATGATATGATATTCATGCATATAAAGCAAACCTTCACAAATAGCTAATTTAAAAGTCGACAAATATCATATTTTGAATTTTCAGGATGTGGATGCGGGTGTGGGTGTAAATATTGTCCAAGAGATATACTACTACATCCACACCCATATCCATCTAAATATCAGGAGACTTGGAGGACCTATTCGATAAAATGATCAGCTTTCTATCTTGATGCAAAGGAAAGATATGAATCAAACAAGCGTGAAAAAATAGCCTATCGTGTCTCCAAAAATTCTCTTTGGGTGTTCATTCAATATGCTTCATTGTTGTCTTGTTTGAAAGAACATGTGCACATGCAGTGCCTATGAAGGGTCTTTTTTTTTTAATCTTATATTTTTGGAGAAAAAAAGGCCTGACAGGTTTAACTAGTACTAAATCTCTCAAAATAATGGTGCTTATATTATAAAATTGCTTATCAATGTGATTATAGTAGAGTTTTATCAAAAAGAGAGCCTTCATAGACACTGCAATTTTTAATGTTCTTTCAAACAAACAAAATATATCTTACATCATGTAGCATTATAGTTGACTTTCACCGGAGATTCGCCGTTCTACCACCATGTTAAGACAAAACGAAAAAGGTTTTTCAAATAGAAGTTCTCAAAAATTTTGCAAATTTTTTCCAGCAAAAGGAAATATCAAACAGGTTTTATCATAGACGAATGAGTAAATGACAAACTATCTTCAACATATTAATCTTAATCTTGACTATTCTGACGAAAATTCCCTTTTTTTTTGAAGCCGGCAACTTAACATTGTAAAAAATGAAACAGTATGATGTGCCATGTCTTATTTCACGCATACAGAGAACAATTAAGAACACATTTGTTTGTTATCAGAGACAGCCTAATTAAGGCTATTGAAAATGAATAGTTTACTCTTAAAGAAAAAAAGTGTAAATAATAATAATAATTATTATTATTGTGGTATCACAAGGAGACAAAGTTCAAATAATAATTGTTCATCTCTTTCAAATTATGATCATTCCTTTAAAAAAATTAAAGCTATTGATTTTTTTTTCTTTGTTGTGCAATATTTTAAGTGTTCTTACAGTTTGCTTTTATTCTTTGTGTCATATTTAAAGCCATTATTTTCGATGAAATACAAATATATATATATATCGGCAAAAATTCGTAACGCGTCAACTCTAGTGTCGGAAAATTAAAAAATCGAGTTGTAATATCAATACTTCCGTCAAATAGGACCTAGCTCAAAGTATGCGAAATCTCTTCTTTGTTCTCAGAAAAGGTGGTTCTGCTCACATTTGTCAATCATCAATAAGATTTCGATAGGAAAAAAGAGAGCGCATTTTAGTGATTTTCGTCATCGCGTTACAAAATCATCATCGCGTTATGTTAATTAAACCGAAATAACAAGCCACTAAATGATCTTTTTGAACAATTTTATTTTTTCACCGGATACCCCATACTGTCGGCTACAAAGTCCTTATGAATCGCCTTTTCCATCGTAGTACGTATTCAGAAAAAAACAACGAATAAACACATCACCCTCAACTTTTTGTCCAATTTTCATCATCGCGTTTTGCTCAGTGTTTTTGCCAGAATTTTCAAACGACTAAGCCAAACGAGCTCTGGTTTTCAGGAATTTTGACAGAGTAGAGAGACGTATCATTTAATAAAAGAATCAAATTTCTAAGTGGTCTAGTTTCTAAAAGAAACTGAAGAAACTGTGGACAAAACGTCATCGCGTCACGCTTGTGAACGCCGATATAAAAAAATCAAGATAAGGTAAATGTCAGGTATGCATGAGTCATCATTTCTATTTTGTTAATAGCTATCACCTTTTATACATTGGAGTAATTGGAGCCTGTCTTGGCCTATATATGACTAAGGCCATGATATATGATAAATATCTTTGATGGTATAAAAAGAAGAGAAAAACATATCGAAATTGAAAAAGAAATAAAAATTTCAATCTGAATTTGAGACCAAAGAACTAAAACTGAACAAAACTTAGGAGAGTATCCATATTTGAGACATCTATATCTCTAGAATGACTCATTCATTTGGGCTAAAACTTTTAGTTTATTTCTAATTCAGATACACATACCTACTATAAATAATAGTCAAATCTATTAGATTGATCGAGCTATTTCCTCCTGGAAATGGTCGTGGATTGCATATGATGCTTCGTAAGTATTTTGACATCTTTTTCGTATGAAAAGATGACAAATATTGAGGGCGTACATTTTCTTACACAATTTTGTGAGCTCTATCTAATGACATTTAAATTATCAAAAACAAAAATTTATGCAAATTGTAAATGCCTTCACCTGAATTCCAGTCTTATTTTAGTGCTGAAATACTTTCACAACACTATAAAATAGTATGTGTCACGATTGGCCATGTGCGCAAACAAGACACATCACTTCACTTATTCATAGAAGTGACACATCGTTGCACTACTCACTGTTCTCTCGCTCTGGGTATTTTGCAGCATATCGTCAACCATGTTTCTTCTCCATGAATCACACAGTCGTATTATTCGTTCTTATCTCCATATTACCTCGTTACCTTCAGTAAGCAAACGGTGAGTATTTAAGCGAGTCACTTCAGCAGTAATATCATTCTACACAATGCTCCGAGTCAAGAAAGATTCTCCTTTTTCTACACAAGAACCAGAACAACAGTATGTGCCCTTAAAACAAGTGAGTATCGAAGCATACATTAAATCATTTGCTGTAGATGTAACGATCAAGCAAATTTTTCGCAATGATGAGACGAAACCAATCGAAGCAGTGTACTGTTTTCCGATAGAAGAACAAGCAGCAATCTACTCATTTGTTGCTCGGATTGATGATCGAGAAATTGTTGCACAATTGAAAGAGAAAAAGGAAGCACAAAAAGAATATAGTGATGCACTTCAACAAGGACATGGTGCATATTTACTTGAACAAGATGAAAAATCTCAAGATAATTTTATTATCAATGTTGGTGCACTACCACCCGGTAAAGAGTGTCATATCTCTATATCGTATGTCTCCGAACTAGATCTTGTTCAAAATGGAAGTCAAATTCGATTTGTTGTTCCAACAACTATCGCACCTCGATACAATCCAAACAAAGGTGGCATTAGTTCCCCAGCTGGTACCACGTCCAAATACATTCAAACAGCTCCATATACAATTGAATTTCGTTGTCGGGTCGAGAAAACCAACATCTCTCGAGTTAGTTCGACATCTCATCCCATTCAAGTTGAAGTCGGTCAAGAGCATGTCTATGTCGTCGAGTTTGCCCAACAAAACACACATCTAGATCGAGATATCTTACTAGATATTGAATTAGNGCCAGCGCAGCCACGCATCAGTCACCTCTTCTCTCATAGCATCAACCGTTAAAAAATTATTCTCCCTGCAGGGTTTCTTTCATCTTCCAAACCATTAAAATGTCTATCCACGCAGGTATCACTTCTCCATTTTCCAATGCCACTTTCGTCCTCCAAAATGCTTCGCAATAGTGAAAAGTAATGCTCATACGTGTGACACATCTCTTTTTTTCCTTATTCCACACATTTTGAAAATCGATTCTCTCTTAGCGATTTGTTTTATCTAGTAGAGAATTGAATTCTGCATCGAATGATGCATGATTTATGTTTTTGCAATGGATTCTTTGTCCTGAAAAATCCATCATAATGTTGGAAAACGGTGCCCACAGGTGTGACTCACCTCTTTTTTTCCTCATTCCACACATTTTGAAAATCGATTCTCTCTTAGCGATTTGTTTTATCTAGTAGAGAATTAAATTCTGCATCGAATGATGTATGATTTATGTTTTTGCAACGGATTCTTTGTCCTGAAAAATCCATCATAATGTTGAAAAATGGTGCCCACGGGTGTGGCTCACCTCTTTTTTTCCCTATTTCGTACGTTTTCAAAATTGATTCTCTATTTCAGGTTTGTTTCACCTGGTAGTGAATTTAATTCTGCATCGAATGGTGTATAAATCATCTTTTTGCAATGGATTCTTTGTCCTGAAAAATCCATCATAATGTTGGGAAGTTTTACTCATGGATGTGGCTGATCTCTTTTTTTCCTTATTCCACACATTTAAACAAACGATTCTCTTTTGTGATTTATTTTATCGGGTAGAGAAGTTAATTCTACATCGAATGGTGTATAAGGTTTTTTTTTCTGAGGTAATTTTGGTTTGGAGAGATGCTTCAAAACGTTGGGAAACGATGAATGTAGGTGTGGCTGAGATTTTTCTGTGGCACGGGGAGTATTTTTTAAACTTGCAGAAGTCTATGTGTTCGGTTGCTAGGGAAGATTCGTTCGGTATAGTATGGACGGATTGTGGTACAATATGCTCGATCGCTGATTGGTCGGTTGGTCGGACGCTTTTCATTGGTGGTCGTGCTAGCTTCACATCGATAGTGTATTCCTAGAGAGAGAACAATCATATTTCATAGATTTTGTTTGTTTGAAATATAATCTAGATGAATTCTTATAAGAATTCAATCTTGTAACAAATGACTTATTAATTTAATATTGACTCATAGAAACCTATGTGAAATTTTTAAATTTTTTTGAGTTTTATTTGATATACGCTCTTACAGATCAAAATCAAACTAATAAGTCATTTGTTACAAGGATGAAGTCTTATGAGAACTCATCTAAGCTATATTTCAAGTAATCTATAGCTAATAAATATGATTGTGCTTTCTAGACATACGCTTAATTAAAAAACAGAATGTTTAGTAACATGGAAAGATATAAGATAAAAATTATTCTATCTTTAAGAAGCTCATTGAACTACGGCGCGTTCTGTGAAACTAACATATATAAATATCATTGCATAGATTTCAAGTTATGTTGAGTTCTTTTTGTTTTTCGAATGTGTAAAGTTGGGCAGACATAAAAACCAATATATTTTTAACATTTCAAATATCATTCATAATTTATCATACTTAATCGACATTATAATTAAGAGCATGTGTTATTAGCAAAAAACATGTTCGCATATATTTATCAAATTTATTTTCTATTCCTTTTTTATAAGAATGAAAAAAAACAATTATTTGCTCACTCACTATGACTCATTTTTATCGTCTTTTTATTATGGAGTTTCATGCTAAAAAGTTTTAGACGTGATTTTTTTACTTGGTTAAGATAAAAATATAATGAAAGAGTAAAAAACCAATTAAATAAAATTAATTTAGCATTTTTACTATACTCCGTGAGAGGAAGCCTATCGAAAGCGTAATAACAACTTATCGGGTGTATGCCTACCACTCGAAACTTATCAAAGCTTTGACTACTTGAGAAAAAGAAACATATCGCAAGAGTAATTGTGGATGCTCCAGTAGAAGCAAACTTAGCGCAATAGCAGTTTCGACTGTTGAATCTAGTTTTGATTACGTGAAACTCCTCCAAAAACCAAGTTAGTAGACAGCACGTTTTTTAACCACTTTAACTGTATCTAATGCGACAGCTTTGACACGGTGATATATTGTCAACAAGGCTCGTTTATTAAAATAAATGATTTTCAGGGTAAAAATAAGAATCGCGTTGCTGTCATTTAGATGCTAGATTAATCATCATTGATACTAACAAGGTAGCGCTCATTCTACGGACACACTGACCCTTTTTCTGAAAGGAAACATCGCACGTTTCTCGAGAATCTTTCTGTAAAAGCATTTTCAATTTCTGTTTATACATCAGATAATTTTTGCAAATGAACTTATAATTTTTTTCAGTATGAGCATGTTACAGTATGTTCTTCTATAACATCTACCTCGATCCTATCTATTCTCTTTTCTTTGTTATTTTCGTTTCTTTTATTTCTTTCCTTTGCACTTGATTGACCTCTGTATTCTTTTATATTTTGTCCTTAGTTTTCATGTGCGTATATAAACACTTGTTTTGTAAAAGAATAAACAGAGAGAATAAACCACACACACACACGTTAACTGTGTTCGTCGCTCTTCGTGAGCGCGAACGCTAACAGAGCATAACTGAACAGCTCCAATATTTTTGTACCTCAACTTTTGCTCTAGATACATGTTTGAAAATAATCATTTACTCCATAGTTCATTTATTTGAAAATCAATTCTCAACCAAAACGTTCCGTTGCCAACTAAACTCAATGATAACTTATCAGTATGAAGTTTTTCGCAACAAAAAATACGTTTTCGGACAGAGTGACGTACCGCTTCACGTTGAAATATAAATTTGTTTCTACTTACAATGGAGGTGTTTGTATTGTTCGTCGAAAAAATGGCACATATTCGGGTCAAATGAAAGCTCTCACCGCCAAACCAACAAGGTTAAAATATTAGCTCCCCTTGACTTGTCTAGAGGGTGATATTTAAATTTTAAACTTAGGTATAAAATGAATCAGGAAAGGTTTTCTCCACTATTAAAAGGACAAAACATAGTGTTGTTCCGGGCATATAAAAGAGAGACGCAACAAACCCTATAATCGGCCCAAACAACATTATGTTTTATCCTTATAATAGCGGAGTGAATTTTTCTAGTGGTTGATAGAAAACGCCGTTTCCATGAGCCACAGGAAAAATTCACTCTACTACCCATGTAAAAATAAAAAGGTATTTAACGAAATGATTCTTGAAATTAACACAAAAAAATGCGTTAAAAGACAAATTAACGAAATTTCACGAGGAAAATTTCATGAACTTTCGTTATATTCCGAAAACTCGTGTAAACGCGTTATATTTTTCACGCTTTTTCACGCGTGATTGTCGTTTTAACTATAACTAACTCATTATATATCGTTAAACGTTGCATTCATTTTCACGCGTTAAGAAGTTTAACGATATTTCTTGAGTTTTTTTATTTTTAACCAATCTTACCATGTTAAATATCGTTAAACTTGGTATTCATTTTCATGCGTTAAACATATTAACGCGTTTTCATGCATTTCGGTGTTTTTCACGAAACTTAACTGATTGATTCTCGTTAAATCTAGTAACTGTTTCCACAAGTGAAATATTTTAATGAGTTTTAATGAAAATCTTAATTGTTAACGAACGTCATTTAATTATTCATCATTGAATCTACTAATTGTTTTCACGCGTACAATATTCATGATTTTTTGTGTTACATATTTATTTATGCACATTACACAAAAATCATCTTGAAAGGCTTATATTTACGAAATATCAAGTGTGTCTGTGGACTATATCAATCCAGATATCAAAAGCTTTTTATCAGATTAGGCAGCACTTCTTTAGAGTAATCTCTATTTTGTATTAATCGCTAGCAAAACTACTTGAATTAATCCTAGACAAAGATAATCCTCTTTCAGTTTTTCTTTAAAATTTATTATGGGTTTTATATCAAAGGAATGTAATTCTATACTTCGTACATCATCATCATTTCTGCTCCACATGATAAAAAAAATGTTTAGCGAAATAATTGCTCCAGTTAAGATCAAAAGTTGCCTTAAAAGGCAAATTAATGAAGTTTCACGAAGAAAATTTTCATGAATTTTTGTTGGATTTGGAAAATTCGTTTTAACGCGTTAGATTTTTCACGTTTTTTCACGCGTGATTGCCATTTTAATGGTAACTAACTCATTATATATCGTTAAATGCTGCATTCGTTTTTACACCGGTGAT